ATTTTTGGACTAAGATTTTTAGGGTAAATAATTTATTTAAGTACTATGCTGAAAGTTGTTTTAATTATGTTAAATTGGTCAGTTGCTCAAAAATTATGATTTTTGGCTGAAGTGCTTGTTTTTTATTTTATTATTTTTTTTTACCAAAGCAGTAATGCATTCATTTTTCAAGTTCAATAACAAGCATTAACATCCCACATCAGAAAAAAGAAAAAATCTATTCGATTGAGTCATTCAATAATCCTCAAAATTCAAACTCACTGCTGATAAGAGAAATTTGATTCAAAACAAAACACACCAACCATCTCAAGCTCAAGCCTTCCTAGGTTTGCTTGCTGCCAATTGTGACTCCCGCTCTTTCTTGACAGGCTCTTCCTTCTCAGATAGAATCAACTCGATGTGACAGGGGGATGACATGTAAAGATTGATTCGTCCATGAGCATTGTATGTGCGACGTCTTTGCTTCTGGGCCTGGTTAACTTAAATGTGGGAAATAAAGAGTGCATCCACATCCAAACCTTTCACCTCGGCATTGCTTTCGGCATTCTTGAGCAAATCCAAGATAAACTTGGTAGATTTCACAGGCCAACGTCCCTGACCGTTAGAGTGCCTGTTCTTTGCCTGTGCAGTTCTACCAACACCTCCACAGAAACGAGTGAAGGGGATTTTCTGCTTGTGGGCAAGCACATCCTCTAAGTATCTCTTGGCCTTAACAAGAGCCAACTTCCCGATTGCATGCGCAGTCTCTCTAGTGTTCTTGAAATGAACCTTGAGATCAGATCCCCGAGCCTTGCAGAATTTGGTGGGATTGTCGGGCTCCCTCGATTACTTCACCATCGTAGCTGATTTTCTTGGCGGTGGCGGTGGCGGCGGCGGCGAAGATGATAGTGTTGAGGTTTTTCTTCACAAAAAAAAAGAAAAAATCGGAAACTGTAGAAACTTGTAGGAATTTTTAAAATTCGTGTGTTTATTGTTTAAAGCTGAAATTTTTATGTGATAGTCCTTACATGCTGTAGTTGTTCCAGCAAAAGTTTCAAGTATTAATTCTTTCATTAGGTCAGACTATGAATTTATACTCGTTTTTGGCATCGTGTTTTAATTTTATAAAATTGTGTATAATGAGTTTGGGGCTGAAACTTGGTGGTTTTACTAAGTCCAGTGAGGAGGATTTTATGTTAAAGTTCAGAACCTAACTCATTCAGAAACTTGATCAACCTAATTATGTGATATATCATTTTCTATTTTTAAAAAATGTAGTTCTTGTGTAAAAATCTATAAATCGGATTTCTTGTTGGGGTTGTGACTTGTTTGAATTATCTTTTATGTGATATTTACGTGAACTCCCGTGTTTGGTTGTTCGAGTCTAAGTCCTAGAGTTCCAATATCCATAGAACTTCACGAACCACTTAGTCGAATCAAGTTCGGTTAAGTCAAATTTTTGATTTTCTGCTTAGGTCTAGATAAAGCATTGACTTTAGTATCTGGACTTATGTAGGTGTCTAGAGGTGTTGACCTCACCCCGCCTTCGAGAATCGTGATTGTGTTTTGTCGCTGCAAACAAGTGGGTATATTTGTGATGTATTCCATATTATTGCACTCTTTATTCGTACAATGCTTCGTTTTGAAATTGTTGTATGCGTAAGAACCCTAGTCTAGGTGTCCCGTACAATAGTGCCTTTGATGAATACGAAAACAGTGGGAGGCCACCTGCCCGTTGTATCCAGGAGGAGACGCCCCAAGCCGTTGTACCTGGAAGGGGAAAAACTTCTCCACTGTCTCCTGGAAAGGATCATACGAACCTTTGTACCCGAGGGTGGGAAGGTTTCAAGTTACCTCCATGCCGTTGTATCCAGAAGTTTGTTATATGTACATAGGAGGTTTGAGATAGGGCTAAGTAGGGAGTTTAGACCTTGGATTCTATGCATAGTGTGAAAATGTTTTAAAATGCTTTATACTGGATAACTGTGCGATAATGGTGAGCTTGTTGGTTATGCTCACCCCCATTGTTTGTTTTCTGTTGTCGTCTTCTCTTCCTTCTTTAGGTTGAGATAAGCTGGAGGCGGTGGCGTAAAGACGAGCGAGATGGTGGTCATTGATTGGATGTGTCTTTTGCTTCTGCCTGTTTTATTTATGATAAACTAATTGCTTTCATTCCGTAATTATTTATGCTTCCGCTTGAAACCATGGATTTATGTTAAGCTTTTTGAATGACGTTGAGACTTATGAATATGTCAGTATATATTTATAAGTGTTGGCTTATGCATGTGTAGAATTTAATTATTTGTCGTAATTAGTTAAATATTGTCGATAGTCAAGTAGCGTCCCGATGAGTATTAAATTTTGAATTGATTTTTTTTTTATTTTAAAAAAAACTCTTGTTTTTGGAAATTTATTTGGTAAATTCTGTAAAATAAAATGGGGCGTTACAGTTTGATATTAGAGCCAGTCTGTGATTCTATAGACTGTCTCTTTTGTTTGGGTACTCAATGACCATTTCGATCACTCGCTTCGTCTCGCCGCGCCAGCTCAAGGTATGAGTTTATTCATGTGATTACTTTATTTGTGGCTTAGGGAATCTATCCACCTTTGATTTAGATTTGAACTCTAGTGTTTCCTGGCGAACTCTAGACTTCCGTATTTATGTTAATGTGCTAAATTTTATTCAGCCTATTCAATGTAGAGCTATGAATACACACAACAACCGCAACAGGCAGCCATCCCAGTTTCCTTCTCCGCCACCTTATTACCACCAGACCCCTCCGGCCATGGACTTTACCAAACTCATAGTCCAGTTCCAGAACATGCATGCGCCAACCTTCTCGGGGACTGAGGCCTCCACAACTATGGTGGAAAGGATGAAGGAGTTAGACAAGATCTTCGTTGTGCTCCCTCTCCAGGACAGATAGCGTGTTTCCCTCACTGCTTCCGACTGGTAGATTGACCACTGGGCTCGGAGGCCAGAGGCCGAGCTCAATGCCCTCACCTGGGAGCAGATAAAGGCGATGGTTCGTGGCAAGTTCCTTTTACAGAGTTTTTGGGATCGGATTTTTGCAGCAGGGCGATGCCAGCGTGGACGAGTACATCCGCTCGTTCACCAGAATTTGTGTCTTTGCCGGCGACACAGTGAGTACCGAAGAGAAGAAGGCCCGGAAGTTCCTGAAAGGGCTGAATCAGAGGATTTGTGAGCTAGTTGGGAGTCACGGTTTGATGTCCTTTGCCGACACGTTGAGTCGAGCTCATTAAGTGGAGAGTTGTCTGATCCCGATAGCTCCGGTTCTCTCCTATTATCATGCTTCGCAGCCTGCTCAGACTGCACCTCCAGCCTATCCCCTGCCGTCTTATCAACCGCCGCTTATTGCTCAGGCACCTTATCCATACTCCGTTCGGTATGCTACAGCTTCCCCATCCTCTAGCTCTGGCAAGAGGAAGAATGGGCATCCAAACCGCAAGAAGGGCAAGCGCCCTAACCATGGTCTGCGCCAACCTCATCAGCAGCCTACTGTGCAGTTTGCCCAGCCCCTCTGCCAAATTTCTGCTGGAACACCATCGTGTAGAGCATGCGGGCTAGTCCATGAAGCCAGTGCGTGTCGGGCTACCAACGTGACTTGCTACAACTGCCAGAGGAAGGGTCATTTCTCTCGTGCCTGCCCAGAACCCAGAGGCCGAACCAGCAGCAGCAGCCCAGGTAGCCCCCACCTCACCAGCAGAGGACAAGAGGCCAGGCCCGCGTCTACACCATTTCTCATGACGAGGCAACTAACATCACAGGTACCATGTCCCGAATGCTTTCGATATCCAACGTACTTGTTTATGCTTTATGTGATACTAAGGCAACCCACTCGTTTATATCTTCCCGATGCCTTGAGGCCCTATCTGTGATGAATGTTTGCAAAGTTGATCCTCTCAAGGTTAGTCTAGCCTCAGGAAAAGTTATTGTCTCCAATTCCTTGGTTCGTGATCTTCCTGTTTCTATCGGCGGACGAGTTCTGGTTGTTGATGCCTATGTCATTGGAATGCGAGACTTCGACGTGATCTTGGGCATGGACTGGGTCACTTGCTATCGAGCCGACATCCGGTGCCAGGAGCGCGAAGTCACCCTCTTTTCTGATTCTGATCAGCATGTCGTGTTTTATGGGGTGAAGTCGAGGACTGTGCCTCGAGTCATCTCCTCTATGCAAGCTAGAAAGAGCCTTTCCAAGGGTAGCTGTCAAGGCTATCTTGTTTCTGTGGTGTCCGAGGATGATTCTGGTCGGACTCCGGAGCGATTTTCTATTGTTTGTGAATACCTTGATGTTTTTCTCAATGAGCTGCACGGGAGACCACCCGATCGCCAGATCGAGCTCACAATTGACTTGGTACCCAAAGTCGGTCCCGTTTCTAAAGCCCCTTATCGTATTGCGCCAAAGGAGCTTCAAGAGCTCAAGGCCCAGATCCAGGAGTTGCTCAAGCTCGGTTTTATTCGGCCGAGTGTTTCACCGTGGGGAGCGCCCGTCCTATTCGTGAAGAAGAAAGATAGATCGATGCGCATGTGCATTGACTACCGGGAGTTGAATACCCTTACAGTCAAGAACAAGTACCCCCTTCCTCATATTGAGGTCCTCTTCGACCAGTTGAGGGGAGCCAGCGTCTTTTCGAAGATTGAATTGCGTTTTGGCTATCATCGGCTGAAGATCCAAGAGTCGAATATTTCTAAGACTGCCTTCCGTACCCGTTATGGCCACTATGAGTTCGTAGTTATGCCGTTCGGACTCAACAATGCCCCAACAGTTTTTATGGACCTTATGTATTGGGTCTTTCATCCCTTCTTAGACCAGCTTGTCATTGTGTTTATCGATGACATCCTGGTCTACTCTCGAGACATCGACCAGCACAAGGAGCATCTGAGGATTGTGTTGGAGACCCTTCGCCGCGAGAAGCTTTATGAAAAATTCTCGAAGTGCGAGTTCTGGCTAGACCGTGTGGCGTTCCATGGCCACATTGTAACAGCCTGAGACATTGAGGTGGATCCCAACAAGATTGAGGCAGTGAGCAAGTGGGATACACCAAGAATTGCCGCTGATGTTCGTCGCTTCTTGAGGTTAGCAAGATACTACCGGAGATTTATCAAGGGCTTCTTGAAGATAGCCCAACCACTAACCAACCTTACGAAGAAGATCGTGAGGTTTGATTGGAGTCCTAAGTGTGGCGAGAGTTTCCAGGAGTTGAAGAGGAGACTTACTACCGCGCCCGTCTTGTCTATCCCCGATCCTACTTTGGAGTTCACTATCTACAGTGATGCTTCGAAGATGGGTTTGGGATGTGTCCTTATGCATCAGAGGAATGTCGTAGCCTATGCTTCGAGGCAGCTGAAGCCTCACGAACAGAACTACCCCACTCATGATCTCAATTGAGCTGCAGTCGTCCACGCCTTGAAGATTTGGCGGCACTACCTCTAAGGTGGCAAGTGTGAGATATTTACTGACCACAAGAGCCTAAAGTACATTTCACTCAGAAGGAGCTGAATATGCAGCAGCGTAGGTGGTTGGAGCTGGTCAAGGACTATGATCGCACGATTAGCTACCATCCTGGGAAAGCTAACGTGGTTGCCGATGCGTTGAGTCGGAAGAGTCATGGCCAGCTGTCTTGCCTACTCACTTAGAAGGATGTCCTAGTTCGGGAATTCGAGCGGCTACAGCTAGAGGCAGTGGAGTCGACTTCGACGGCCAGTGGTATGTTGACCACTTTGGCCGTGGGACCGACTCTTCAGAGAGAATAGTCACCGAGCAGTCGAATGACCGTTTTCTGTGCCGAATGAAAGATTTGGCTTTTAGTGGTCAGATTGGAGGATTCGCAGTCGCATCCGATGGAGCATTGGTCTTCGAGGGCAGACTTTGTGTTTCGAAGGTGTGGGAACTGCGAAAGGAGATTCTGAGAGAGGCCCATAATGCCCCGTACACCGTCCATCATGGTAGCACGAAAATGTATCAGGACTTGAGGAAGTCTTTCTGGTGGCGAGGTATGAAGAGGCAGGTGGCGAGGTTCGTGGATGGGTGTCTGGTGTTTCAGCAAGTGAAGGCTGAGCACCAGAGACCGAGAGGGTTTTTGAAGCCCCTTGAGGTTCCCATGTAGAAGTGGGAGTGCATCACCATGGACTTCTTAGTGGGATTGTCTAGATCGAGAACCGGGCATGATTCTATTTGGGTGATCGTGGACCGACACACAAAGTCTGTCCACTTTCTGCCAGTTCGGACGACCATAAAGGCGAGTGATTACGCCGAATTGTTCGTCAAGGATATTTTTAAGCTTCATAGGGTACCTGTGGAGATTATTTCTGATCGAGACACTAAGTTCACGGGCCAGTTCTGGAGGAAAGTGCATCGAGCCATGGGGATGAGGTTGGAGTTCAGTACCGCCTTTCACCCCGAGACAGATGGTCAGTCAGAGCGGACGATCCAGTACTTGGAGGATATATTGAGGGTTGTGGTCTTGGACCAGAGCTTGACTTGGGAGTATGTCCTTGCGTTAGTCGAGTTGACCTACAACAATAGCTACCACTCTTCGATCAAGATGGCCCTGTATGAGGCTTTGTACGGACGAAAGGTCCAGACTTCTTTATATTGGAATGAGGTCGGAGAGAGGACGATCATTTGTCGGAGTTTGTTCGTAGTACTGCTGCGACAGTTGAGGAGATCCGGAAGACCATCAGGGCTACCCAGGAGAGGCAGAAGGTCTATGCCGACTCGAAGAGGCAAGAGCATGTGTATCAGTTGAAGATCATGTCTTCTTGAAGGTTTCACCCATGAGGGGTGTGATTCGCTTCGGGAAGAAGGGGAAACATAGACCTCGCTACCATTTGAGATCCTTGCTCGAGTCGGGACTTGGCGTATCGGCTGGTTTTACCACCGGACTTGTTGGGAGTGCACAATGTGTTTCATGTCTCGTTGCTGAGGAGATATGTGCATGACCGACCATGTGGTGTACTTCGGCGAGCTGCAGGTCGAGCAAGACCTTACCTATGAGGAGGTACCGACAACCATCATGGACCGAAAGGTCCATCAGCTAAGGAACCGGGCAGTGAGTTTGGTGAAGGTGCGCTGGAGCCGACATGACGAGTCCGAGGCGACTTGGGAGAAGGAGGACGATATTAGGAGGCGCTATCCGAACTTCATGTTCTGAGTTCCCCTTTGTATTTTATTGCTTTCTAGAGGTTTATTTTCGAATTACGAGGACAAAATTCTTTGTAAGGTGGATAGACTATAATACCTCGTTTGAATAAGAATTATTTGAGATGAATTATTGATTAATTATTGCTATTATTAT